CCTCTCTTTAATAGTTCCAGCTCTCGGGCCCTTAGTAGAAGGCACTCAATCTCAATATTATGCGGGTCTCTTAGGTCCGCATTGTTTACTTCATCAATGTCTCTACAAGGTTGATTGTGAGGTTGTCCATGTTCAACCATTTGCGAGACATGTGGTATGATGCCAAATGATGCAAACAAGAAATAAATGGCCAAATCCATACAAATGCAAACCAGAATAAATTCTCCCAAAGTTTTATTGACAAAATAATCAAAAGTTTATCTCAACACAATAGCAAAATAAGTACTTATCAATGGCTTCAAAAAAGTTTTCAAGCTCATCTCAATCCACAAATAAGATACAGCCTAATCCCTAACTATTAAATCTTTTGAATCTATAAACAACTCAAATAATAAAAAAAGATCGACGAAGGCAAATCAAAACATGAGAATTGCCCAAAAGATGCAAGGTTGGATGCCTAGTGCCCCTTCATAAGTTATTATGACTAAGAGACTAACCCTCTTAATTTAGTTTGAAATTTGGACGAATATTACCACAGTGTTCATACATTAGTGACCAAAAATATAATTGAGTGTTTATTAATATGAATCATTATAAATCATCAACTTAAATGGACCATCTTTATGCAATTCTAAATTCTTTTACATTAGAAATATTTAAAAATAAAATGTTTTAAATTGTTTTTTTTTAAAGCAGAATTACAACAAAACAACAAATTAAGCATAATTAATAATGGGTTGAGGCTTTTCAGATTATTTGGTCAGATTGTCAGTCAAACCTATATTCCCACCACCCAACATAAATGGTGTCAATTTAGCAACACCCGAATTGGCTAAAAAGACACCCAAATTTTCCATTTGGACACCCTATTTGATTTTTAAGGTTTTTTTATTGGTTAAATTTGCATTATTTTTTGAAAAAGTAAATTGTAAATAGTTTATTATATGTTAACTTTTAATAAAAGTGTTTATAGGGTGTCTAAATGGTGTCAATTTAGCAACACCCTAACTAGTGATAGTACGGGAATTTTGAAACAAGTAGGAGGATATTCTCTTTTCTTCATCATGGTATGGACATCTCAGTTTTTATTGTAATGAAGTAGTTGGAAAAAATATTGTGTTTTTCAAAAATATTTATTAAAATGTTTTTTTTTTTTTTTTCTTAACTTTTTAGTTTTCTTTTCAGTTTTTTTTTATTTTAAATATCTTTTTTTCTCTTTTATTCCACCTTTTTATTGTTTTTTTATATAATTTTTTTAAATGACAACTTTTATTTTAGTTTTTTTACTGTTTTTTTAAGGGAAATCTTCAGAAAAGTCCCAAAATTTACGGAAAAGTTACACTTTAGTCCCAAGATTTTTTTTTGAACGAAAAAGTCCCGAAAACCGGCAAAAATTTACAGTTTGACCCTTTTTGACCGGTTGAAACCGGTACCAAATTAATTTTGGACTATTTCGTAAACTAATCCAAAATATTGGGATTTTTCAGTAAACAAAAAATATTATGACTTTTCTGTAAACAAAAATATTAGGACTTTTCTATAAACAAAACCCTTATTATTATTATTATTATTATTATTATTATTATTGTTGTTGTTATCATCATCATCATCATCATCATTATTATTATTATTATTATTATTATTATTATTATTATTATTATTATTAAAAATATAAATAAGAATACTTTTTTTGAACTTGTTATTATTAATATTGTTACTAATACATATAAATGAATTTAAATGAAAAAATAATATTAATGACATTGTTTAAGGGTGGAGGTGGAGGAGATGTTGATGCCTTTAACATTGAAATCATGAATGTTTGCTTGTATATTTTTACTTTTTATATGGCCATTTCACATTTGTTGTTATTGTTTTCAATTAAAAATAATAATACTTAACAATTTAAAAGAAGTTGCATGTTTGTAAAATTGTTTATAAATAGTTTAAGTTAGAAGGATTTCTCACTTTGTATATAAAAATGTTTACAGTATAAGGATTATTTTCCAAATCCAACAGATCCACTACAAAAATCTACATAGGTAGCCCATATCAAAATTCAAAAATATTAATTACAATATCTTGTTTAATAAAAAGTAATAGGACATGTTTTTTGGATTAATACTTTTGAATTTTGATTAATACTTTTGAATTATTCCTATTACTTTTTGTTAAACAAAATATTGTAATTAATACTTTTGAATTTTAATATAGGTTACTTATGTAGATGTTTGTAGTAGATTTGTTAGATTTGGAAAGTAATTCTTCAACCTTAAATAATTTTATATACAAAATGAGAAACTCTACTACCTTAAACTATTAATATGCAACTTCTTTCAAATTGTTAAGTATTAATATTCTGAATTGAAAACAATAATAACAAATATGAAATGACCATATACAAAGTAAAAATATACAAGTAGACATTCACGATTTCAATACTAAAAACATCACTATCTCCTCCACCTCCACCCTTAAACAATGTCATTAATATTATTTTTTTCATTTAATGCATTTATATGTATTAGTAATAATATTAAAAATAACAAGTTCAAAAAATAGTATTCTTATTTATATTTTTAATAATAATAATAACAACAACAACAACAACAACAACAACAACAACAACAATAATAATAATAATAATAATAATAATAATAATAATAAGGGTTGTGTTTGTAGAAAAGTCATAATATTTTTGTTTACAGAAAAGTCATAATATATTTTTTTTACAAAAAAGTCCCAATATTTTGGATTAGTTTACAAAATAGTGTCAAATTAATTTGGTACCGGTTTCAACCGGTCAAAAAGGGTCAAACTGCAAATTTTTGCCATTTTTCATGACTTTTTTGTTAAAAAAAATATATATATTGGGACTAAAGTGTAACTTTTCCGTAAATATTGGGAATTTTCTGAAGATTTCCCTTTTTTTAAATAACAGTTTTCTTAATCTTTTTTTTTTCTATTTTTTTTAGATATATGTTTTTCTTATACAAAATTTTTATCATCAAATTTTCGTCATCAAAAATTTAAAATACAATATATTTTAAGGTGCAAAAACTCAAACATTCACATACAATATTTTTAAGATAAAAAAAAAAAAAAAACAAAATATATTATCAACATTTCATCATAAAGCATCTTTATCAACATTTTAGCTTTTAAGGAAAATCCTTTTCAAAACCCCTTTGCAAAAAAAAGACATTTAGTACTCATACTAAAGCAAATTACATGTATAGACACATAAAGATCGTCAAACAAGTTATCATATATATATATATATATATATATATATATATATATATATATATATATATATATATATATATATATATAACAATATGCATAAACTTTAGAGTATAATATCATAGTAAGGGACATGTGTTATCGGTAGACTCACATTAGTCCAAAGTTTAGTACAACACCACACTCTCTTCTTTACTTGAACTAAATTTCCCAAGCTTTGTGTTTCTTAATTAACGCCTAATGTCATCATTAAAAGGTGTCAAAAGACTAAAATACCCTTCTATTGCTCAAACAAACATCTTATGCTCACAATGATGCTTAAGTATCCAAATATTAATTATGGAAGCTAAAGAGGACCAAAGGAATGAAATAAAATCAAGATACAAGAACAATACCAATTCTAAACATACCACCTAACATGACACATGTCATTTATGACTTGGATAAAACGGACCTTGTCATGCCTTTTGTACACCCAATTTGTGTAGAATTTTCCCATACATGACACCTTACATTATGGACCTCAATACGAATCAGATGGCTTTAGGAGCTTCAAATACATGTTATAACACTTCAATTGACATAATAAAGGATCTCAAGTGGTTCATATCCTTGGAATATACATCAAACATCAAAACATCTCTCAAACGTCACCTAGAATCTTGAAGAGCACATATTGCACTAAATCGTTATGTGTGACTCGTGAACTATAATAAAATGGACTAGATACCACCTTTACAGCTTAATACACATGGATAGAGGAAGTTATGAATATTTAAAACTCGCTCACTGGAGTACCTTGAGCTTCAAACTTCATATGTACACTAAAAACTTCAAAAGACAAAATATGAAACTAATTGAAAGGATTCCAACTCTAAGTATAAAGTGATGATATAATACTTATTTTTATCAGGATAATTTCATATTAGCATCACATGAAGCTTGAATCTAGATTCATGAACATATATGGTTTGGTAAATCTACAAACCATACCATAGAAGATAAGATTTCATCAAAACTCCATAATCATAAAAATGAGACATGAATTAGCAAATGATCTGGTGATTTAAAGTTAAATACATAACCTAAACATGAAACTAAGTTCATATCATTTCTTGGAAACATAAAATTGGATCTAATGCCTAGGGTTTGAAAACGCCAACCTATGATTAAAAACTCAATTAAACCCAGATGAGAGTAGGATATGAAAATCCAATCATGGATGATGAACTAACTACATTAGACGAACATAAAACACCATAGATTCTCAAATTAAATCATCAAATCCATGTTCTATAGTCTAAGGCTTGAAAACACATAAAACAACAACTATTTGTTAGTTGTAGATTAGAGATGGATTAAGGAATGGAATCACCATATAAAATTCATATGAATTCTATAATTGGAAAGGGAATTCGAATTTACAAACTCATATAAATATTTTTTTGTGTTATATTGTCTATAACCAAATATTAATAAATTATAAAGTTAATCACTAGAATTACCAAATCTTTTGAAATTAACCGAAGAAATAATCATTGTCTTGGAAAATTTAACAAAATGAATATTTTGTTCGCTATATTAACAATTTTATTTATTGTATTTTAGCAATTATTATATTTAGTTATTTCATATAAGAGTCTTTAAAAATCATATCATTACAATGGTCTTTATATTTGATTTTCATATGATTAAAACTAAATAAAATTTTAATTTATAATTATTTATAATTATATTATATAGTTAATTTCAGTTTATTTCAGCAGTCTGCATACGTTAAGAAAAACAAACAAACAAACCGTCTCATTTGGAACATCCATTAAAATAACCTTTGACTTGCATTTTGTGCACGCATTATAGTACCAATTCCGCATATCTTCAAACATCTTTATTGTTCCAAGAATTACCGCACAACTTCCCTATGATAGTAGGTGTATTTGTTGTTAGTTAATATTTAAGTATTGGATTAATTATATTAATAGGGGATAAATTATGTACCTCATTCAATTCGTGAATAGCAGATATTTTGTAAAAGGCGTTCTTTTGAAGAAAATCATCATGTAGTGAATACATGATCGATGATCCTAATGCACGTGAGACCGAAGAACACGAAGAGTCTTTTCTTGCTTGTAAACTGTTATTGTAGCAATTAATAATTATTATATATCATAAATATTAATTAATAAAATATTGTATTGAAATGAGAAATCGTTTAGAAAAATCATGAAACCTTTTTTTGAAAGCACTTATCTCCTCAATGTCGTCCTCAATAAAAAGCTTTGTCGCCAAGTACGTGTTGTTTACATATGGACGCTCTGAAATGGATATTTTAATTTTTGTATGAATGTTAATAGTTTTATAAAACCAAAATTTTAAGAATATAAATATTACAAATTAGTATCATGGTTAATACATACGTCGGATATTCTTGAACTTAGCAAGTTGAATAATCATTACAAAATCACCATGATGCTTTGAAACATATGAAATAATTTCTTCAGCATAACGTCCCCATAGAGTAACAAAAACTTCATGTCCTCTGTAAAAAGAAATAAAATTAAATAACAAACCATCATTAGAATAATAAAAATATTTATAAAGAATGAAACTCACTCTAAATCCTCCATTTTTAGTGTGATTTTCTGCTCCTGTTTGTCTTTTGGAGGTTCCAATGGAAAACATTTCCTATAATATCTATATTATAGAAAACGAAAAATGTAAGGATGTCTTTGTTATGGTGTAAAAAATCAAAATTGGATAAGTTAATCCATTAGCAAAGGGATTGTAGGGAATATACTAACCAAATGACACATTGGGTTGGATTGAATTAGAATGAAGTTGTTTGAAGTCAATGAAAGCAAATTAATTCCGGGGCCCACAAAAGTCTTTGCATCTAATAACCTTAGTGCTATACTGGAAATAGAGTTTATGTGGACCATCAACAAACTTTATAGCACCATTATTTAACCCTATTGTGGGTTTTTGAATGTAGTAATCACCATATTCTTCCAAAGTCTTTCCTTGTAGGGATGCAAATGGTCTATCGACATTACATTCAATTTTGGCACCCTATTAATAGATGAAATAATATAATAATAAGGCATACTACACATAAAAATAATTATAACTTAACATGTATAAATAAATAATTTTAAAAATAATAAACTAAAAAAACCCAAAATACCCTTTCGTCCATCAATATCATTCCAATTATACGAATCTGTTTCCACAGACGAATGATTCGAACCTTGATCATGTAGTCATCTTTTGCAAGTGCCAAGTCACTGATCATGGTAACATTGGTGTTTTCCATTAAGCTGTAAACAAAACGTAGTAACAAAGATTAGCTGTTATATAACAGAAAAGTATTATAAATAAATGACAAAAATAATTTAAGGAAATATAAATTAGGGACATATAAGGAAATATATGGCGAAATGTCCAAAATACCCTTATGTGAAAATACCAGCAATATATGTAAAACCAAACAGAGAAGAAAAAAAAATTGATACACTTTTATGTTCAAAAGGCAATCACAGTCATATATTTATTCCAAAAGAATGTTGGATTTTTAGAAATCCATAGATGAGAAAGAATATATGTTTTGGGTGTTTGTACTTTGAGAAACATGAAAATATAATGCGGTTGAAACGGCATAAGACACATATATTAGCGACATTTAAAGAAAGATTTGAAGTTTTTACATGTAGATAAAATAAAAAAAAAATTGTCCGTCATTTAAAGAAAGCCATTATACAGGTTCAAAGATCAGTAAATAAAGTAACAATAATAAAAAAATAGAAATTCCTAAATCGTTGTATTCCATAACTTTGTGTTACAATATGTAATAATTGTAAACCAAGTTATTCAACTTTAAAATTCCTTTATGTACAGAAATATAAAGTAAGGGCATTTAAGGAAATATGGCGAAATGTCCAAAATACCCTTATGTGCAACTACCAGCAATATATGTAAAACCGAACAGAGAAGAAAAATAATTTGATACACTTTTATGTTCAAAAGGCAATCACAGTCATATATTTATTCCAAAAGAATGTTGGATTTTTAGAAATCCATGGATGAGAAAGAATATGTGTTTTGGGTGTTTGTACATTGAGAAACATGAAAATATAATGCGGTTGAAAAGGCATAAGACACATATATTTCTATCACAAATTTATTCCAAACCATTATTCACAAACTGTTTAGTACAAGTGCATCACGGGAAACAGTTTGAATGTTGTTTAGTAATATTAAATCTGGAAAGGAAAATTTCCTTTCACTTAAACGACAGCATATGGTTTTTTTAACTCGGAGTAAAAGTGCAAAAAATAACAATCACAATTGTTGCAGGAGGGTGTGTGACAGGGAAAAAAAATTTCTTTGAGGCATTTAATCGAACACCTTATATGCAGTAAAAAATGTGTAAATAATTAGTATATAAATTTGTATATAAATCGACCATATGATGGAAAGGAGAAGAGGAAAACATAAAATGTTCAAATAAAAAAGAATCAAATAATTTTGGTGATTCTGTAAAGTAATTGTATCGATAATTACATAGGCTAACCTGGTGTAGAAGATATTGTTGATAATGGAGTTTGATGATGAACGTGGTGATGCTGTAAATCTTCAATCTCTCAATAAAAGGCGACATATGAATAAGATTGAAGCTGTATATATTTTTCAAATTTGATTCTGGAAAGGATATGAAGAATAGCTGTGATTGAATTGATTTGATAAGTTTCTGCAAATAAGAGTTAATATGAGTGTTGATTACCGACAATTGTGTATGTTATTTAGGGAGATATATTTGGAGTAAATGTATTCATTGACAAAAAAAACTGAAGGATATCGCCGTTTCCTTTAATTTTGTATAATGCAGTAAATAAATGAGAATTTTTAATTTGAAAAAAAAAATCCATAATTTGCCAAGTGGAAAAGAATTTAATTGAAAAAGTATAAAAATGTCATTTGTCATATTAAATGAGAGGTTGCCATGTGGCAGAGAAGTTTTCATTTATTAAGGGAGATTTACTTATTGCGGTGAGAATAAACATTTTTTTAAAATGTGTTTGGATTAACTTATTGCGGTGTGAATAAGCAATAAGCATTTAAGTGTTTGGCAAAATAAAACAACTTATATGAGTAAAATAATCAATAATCAATAAGCAATAAGCATTTCCCTCCTTGCTTATTAAAATCACCTTATTTGGCTTATTTCTACCGCAATAAGCTGATTTTTAAAGACTCATATACAAACACTTAAATTTACTTATTACGGTGAGATTAAGCAATAAGCAATAAGCAGTCTATTTTTTCCCTATCCAAACACCCCTTAATATAGTGAATTATACGAATGATCAATTTATGTTTTATATATTTAATTTTTTATACTTTAGTAATGTTTCATTTTACCACTTAAAATTTTAGTTTTAAATAATTTTATTTATGTACTAATGTATTCATTGTATTTATAAAATATAAAATTATATTGAGTAAACTTTTTTAATTTTTTTATGAGAATGACCTAATAACTTTTTTATATTAATTTTATAAACGATTTGTTGTAGTATATTTCTTTTGAAACAATATATTATAACATTTCTAATAAATTCAAATATGATATGTTTAGAAATGACTAATCAAATAAAAATGATTGTAGTATAACATTTTAGATAGATGTTGATAAATTAATTAGATTTATATAAATAAAAAATTATATAAATAAAAACTATTGAAAAACATTGGCCGCTATAAATATTATTTAATTGGAGATTAAAGTTAATATAATAATATGGTGTCAATAATCTTAAATAATAAAATAAGTTTACCATTAACACTATCATAAAATATAATTACACTAGGTGTGAGACCCGTGTAATACACGGGTTTTTAAAAAAAAATTAATTAATTTTGTTAAACATTACATGTTTAATAATTTACAAAACTGAATTTGGAAAGAATATCAATATTAGCTGTGAATAAACCAATTTTTGTAAGGTTTCTTCAAATTATCGTGAATTCAAATGGATTGCCCGAAAATTGTGTTTTTCAATTAAGAAAGTTGATTTGAATTTAAATTGAATTTAATACATTAAGGGACAAATTATGAGATGATTTATGTAGATATTTAAGTTTCCTTATTTTGTTTATTATATTTTTAGATTAGATTTTTTTATAATTTAATAACAAAGCCAAAAAAAATCACAATTTGCCAAGTGGATTTAAATGAAATTGAAAAAATTAAAAAAATGACATGTGGCATATTGAATTAGGTGATGACATGTGGCAAAAAAAACCTTTATTTATTAAGTAGGATTAATTGTTCATAAAAAATTCTTATAAGATAAATAGTTATTAATTTGTAACAAATATAACAGATAGATTAAATAAATTACATTTTTGTATGCATTTAACAGAAATAAAGTAATAAATGTTCTCTAATCTAGCATACACCAAGAGGCTAAATCCACCTCCCTCCTCGAGCCCCACCAGCTTTTTCTTACAACCCTTGGATTCTGCCCCCCTCTTCTCACTTCCATATTATCTCCATTTCCACTACTTTACAACACAAATTAATATCAACTGAACATGTACAACTACCAATGCACACAATACAACTTAAACTCTATTTTTTCCAAAAATAATTAAGTTAATGACTAAAATACTACTAATATCACAAAATAAAAATAACTCTAATTTTATTACAAAATAAGTACTTATTTTGTAAATAATATATGGAACACATATTTTCGAACGATTTTCTCTAAAACTCTTTAAAATGGTTGCTCGTTTTAGTTTCACAAAATGGAATTACAACTACAAGCAGATATTTAAGTTTCTCTGGACTTTTAATAATTTTACATAACAGTGCATAACAAGTTATTCTTTGATCGCACCTTTTAGCCAAATATAAGGGATAATGACTTAAAATGGTAACATATTATTGGTTTTGTATATATTTAGTACCTGATTTTTTTTGTCCATATTTTACCATTGAACTTGTTCTTGTGTATAAATCAAATCATTATTATCGGTTGCTTCCGATTAAGCCGATCATTTTGTGTTTGAATGGTTTACATGGCAACTACTCTCTTCCACCCTCATTTATCAAGAAACCTCATTTACGAACGAAGATCAGTTAGGGTTCTATTGTATTTAATCGGTTCGTGATCAGTGTCTCATTACTCACCCGTCTCTTCTCTCAATCTCTCAAAACACCATTCTGATTCAATGGAGGAAAATCAAGCTTTTTCAAAAGTCGATGTACCCTATAACGGTAATTTTGTGCCTAATCCATTAGTGTATTTTGGTCCACAAGTACTACATCTGAATTAAGATGCAAACAAGTTTGCTTTCTCCGATTTCATCAAATACGTTGAGAAGCTTATCGATTTTTAGTGCAAGCATGTGTATTACTGTATACAAGAAGTGAGATTGAGTGAGAGGCTCCAAACACTACAAAATGAATGTGACTACTCCGAGTTTCTTGATGTTGCAAATGCTAACAGACATGTGGATGTGTATGTTGACCATGATAATTAACCTATATTTGAGTGGATTCAGAAAGACGAACCACAAGATGAAGAACTTGTGTATTCAGAAGATGTTGGCTCTGTTTTGGCAGATGATGAGAACTGTGAACATGAAGAGGATGAATCTGTTACATCAAGCAAAAGAACCATCAAAAGAACCTATAATGATAAGTTTTTAAACAAGTTATGTCTAGTAGTTTTTGAAGATGAAGATGAAAAAGGCAATGAACTTCCAGCTGTCTACCCTAGGCATGATGCTACTCAATGTAGGAAGATGAAGCCTGAACTAGGTATGAGATTCTCTTCTCCTGCTGAACTTAAGTCATCTCTCAGTAACTATGTAGCTGCACATGGATATGACTTGTATTATGAGAAGAATGACAAGGATGAGTTGCTTGTAAAGTGTTGTAATGGAAAAAGACCACAATACCCTTTTAGACTGTGGGCTTCCTGGATGAAAGATGAGCAAACATTTCAAATAAAGTCCCTTAGAGAAGACCATAGTTGTTCAATGACATTCAAACTTGGGTCAATTGTTACTTACAAGTGGATAGGGAAACAATTTGTCACTGATATTTTGGAGTCCCCTAAAATGAGTCTGAGGAAGATGAAAGCTATGGTATCCAAATTATTAAACATAAATGTTAGTGTTGGACAATATAGGAATGCAAAAAGATTTGCATTGTGTGAAATTAAGGGTGATTTGAAGGATCATTATTCCAAGTTGTGGGATTATAAAGCTACAATTAAAAGGGTCAACCCAGGATCTCATGTTGAAGTGTATGTGTAGCCCCAAAATAATTCTATTGTGGTGTTTGAAAGGTTTATGTGAGCTTTAAAGGAGGTGTTGATGGCTGGTTAGATGGTGTAGGAAGGTAATTGGGATATATGGATGTTTTCTGAAGGGTATCTGTAAAGGGAAGCTCCTCTCAGCAGTAGGCAGGGATGGAAACAATAACATATACCCAATAGCCTGGGCAGTAGTAAATGTTGAGAACAAGAGTACATGGAAGTTGTTCTTGGACAATCTAATGGAAGACATATATGAAGGGGGAAATGGTAATGGAATCACATTGATGTCAGATGGACACAAGGTACATATATACACAAATTATCTTTTACAAAAATTACCTTTTACACAAACTAACATTCCAAATCAATGTAGGGTATAATGGAGACTGTGAAAGAAAAATGCCCAGAAGTTGAGCATAGGTTGTGTGCTAGGCACATCCTTGCTAACTTCCATAAAAATTTTAAGGGTGAGTATTACATTAAACCTTTTTGGAGGGCTGTAAAGGCAACTACAATTCAAAATTTTGAACTTGCAATGGAAGAAATCAAGAGCTTTGATGTATGGGCATATGATTATCTCATTAAAAGAGACCCCAATTGTTGGTCAAAGGGCTTTTTTTAAGGTTGGAATGGGATGTGATGCAATGGAATATCAAAATCTTGATATTTCCGGTTCTAGACTCACTTTACCCGGTTCCATCCGACCAATTTTAATATTTTTGGGTTTTCCGGTTCTAGACCCATTTTACATGGAACCGAACCGAAACCGGTTCCTATATACCGGTCCGGTTTCCGGTCCTACAAAATCTTGTTAACCGGTTTCCGGGTTTTCTGGATCCGGATCTACCGGTCCGGGTTTGGACTCACTCTCATCCCTAGTCGGAAGTAAAAAGAGATAAGTAAAAAGACGAAAACCCCTAATGTGAGGGGGTATGCAAGGTCTTTTAACGGTAGCAACCAAAAGGATCAGCTCTGATTTAGAAACCATAAGGACCACTCGTATCAAAAATCTAAAAATTAGACTAAAACTGAAGGATAATACTAATCGTAGGGACTAAAACTGTAATTTACTCTAATTTATATAATCTAAGCCAAAGAGGCCAAAATATAAGTATTACAGGTCCCAATTCGGTGTATATGGAGGTCTTACTGAAGTACGTACAAGTTCAAATCAATAGTATACAAGTCAATACAACATCATTAGTCTGCATTTGGGGTTTTCAGTAAGGAGTTAATTCAAACAAATATAACACACACATTCCTCTCCCCCCCACCCCCCCCCCCCCCCCTCTCTCTCTCTCTCTCTCTCATACACACTTATGTTTGACAAGCCATTTTCAGAAAAAACCTAGCTTTACCATTTCTCTTCTCTCTTTCTCTGTATCTCAAGCTCCAACTTTTTTCTCCAGAAAAATGAATACCGCGACATGGGTTTCTCTTGGGGTTTTATCAAACAAGATTTCTTTTAGCTAAAGCTCACCCAGATCTTCAAAATCGAAATGTGTTTGTTTCTCCTTTAAAAATCAACACTTTCTTGAACTCCCTCTGAAAACCTCAAAGAAAGATACCTTTTTTACGCAAACCCATTACTTTTCTACTAAAAATCTGTAAAACCCTTCGTTCATTCTTCTAAAAACCATTCCTTTCATTTTTTTTTTCAAGGGTTTATATTTATAATGGGGTGTGTTGCTACAAAGTTAGAAGAAGAAGAGGAAGTGGTGTCTATTTGTAGAGAGAGAAAGCATTTCTTGAAGTTAGCCGTAAAGAAAAGGTACGCGCTTGCAGAAGCTCATTTTAGGTACTGTCAATTAGTTTATGGCGTTTCAGCAGCCATACGACTTTTTGTTGCCAGACATTCTTCATCTTCTTCGCCATTTCTCATCACTTTTCCACCACCATCTCCTCCTAAAGAGAACAAGGTTGTTTCAAACCCTTTGTTTCTTCAACAAAACCTTTCTAAAGAACCCAACAAAAAGAATAAAGATGCCACTGCATGTGCGTCTGGTTCATGTTCTTGCTCCTCCTCTTCAACATCTTCAGAAGAAGACGAAGAGAGAGAAGATAAGTTTAAGAGAGAGAGGGAGGTAGAGAGAGAAAGAGAACAAGTATAGAGTTGTGGGTATTTTTATATGGGAATGCAAATGCCAATGCATATGCATATGCCTCCTCCAGTTTCAAATATTCCATCGATGCCATCGCCACAGAGGGAGTTTGGGTGGGATTTCTTTGACCCTTTTGTGACGATGAGGCCAGAGGTCATCAGTGGGTATAATCGTAATTCTGACGATGATTTGAGGGTAGTAAGGGAAGAAGAAGGGATACCATAGCTTGAAGAAGAAGTTGAGCGAGTGGATGAAGTGAAAAACAAGGTGGTGGGGGGAGTGAAGAAAAGAAAGAGGAAAGTTGTGGGGGGTGAAGTTCTAGGGTCCACAGTGGACTGTGCTAACGTGAGCCAGGGTGAACCTCAAAAGGGTATAACAGTCATTGATACACCCGAAAGTGGAAGAGAGTTGTTGGAAGCATTGAAAGATATTGAAGACTATTTTATACGGATTTATGATTCTGGAAAAGGTGTATCCAAGATGTTGGAATCTAACAGGATCCAATCACAATCTGGCTTAGAGGAAATAAAAGGTAGGGTCTTTTTCGTCTTTTTACATCATGAACCCACACCTGGTTGGTTTTCAATCAAATTTGTACAAATTACTTCTTCATAACTTCACTTGTCTTCTTATGCGAGTAGATATTTCCTTCTCATTTGCCATTTTTCTCCTCAAAAAATGTCACTTCTTTAATCAAGATTTTCAAAAGAACATTAATTTATCATATTCTGACATGATTTACAATTTTATAAGAATTACTCTACAGAACTGTAAGAAAAGCCTTACTTGAGTAGTATTTGGTTTGATTATCTAAAGTCAATGTTAAATTTTCATTTATGATTGTTTTTTTGCATGTTTCATTGAACATGCTTCTGTTTAAGCTTTTTTCTTTACCAATATCGTTATTCCTTTATTATGGGAGTAAAAACCAAAAAGGGTACTTAATTATTTCAGGTTTCATTTGTTGTAGCTACTTTTTGCATTTAATTTTCATGGGACCTTGTTTGTGAGGTTGGGGATAATTAAGAAAAATGATCAAAAAAAAAAAAAGTGGACCCTTTAAAAAGTACCCATGAGAATTGCAGTAATTGCTTATGTGTGAATTACTTATTTACCCATTGTCAGCTCTACATATAACTCATGCAGTTGATGAGGTCACTCCTTTTTTCTTAACTAAAAGAAGTCTATTCTACATAAATATTACCTTTCACATGTTTAATGCTTATCTTATCCTATTCTTGTTTCTTGAATTACCCTTTTCTTTTCAAGAATTATCTGTATATTTTGACTTTCTAGAGTTAAACTTAGGAATTCACAAATTAAAATGTGGTGTGAGCTTAACAAATCTACTTTTTCTGTACCTTTCTTTCATTTAATAATTGTGATAATTATTGTCATATAATTATGAAGAAAACTCAACTAAACTCATTCAAGCAATCGCACACAGATCAACATCCTATCGATTAACAACATGTAAGACTCTTGTAGCGTCAAATTCTAAAACGGCTTCTACATAGACAGAATTCAATAATGATCTATTTGATGATGGAGGGGGAATGAATTCAGGAAGCCATACATTAACATTAGGAAGACTTTATGCTTGGGAGAAGAAGCTATATGAAGAAGTTAAGGTAATTCCTATAATCCTATCGTCTTTGTGTGATTGACTTTTCTGGTCAAACCGCATAAAATTTTAATATAAAAATTTATGTGAGTTGTTCAAATTACACGAAAACATTTGTTACCCATTGAACTATCTAACATATAATATCAATAGAGAAAATATTGGTGGTTAATCTTTCAATATCCGAGTCAATATATAATTTGAAAAACTGTATGTTTGACCTCGATAAAAACAGAGGTAGCTTTTTCTGAAGGGTATTTTAGACATTTAGTTAATAGTCGTTGAAACATTTGCATAATTCATAGGCGGGAGACAACACTCGGAAGTTATACGATAGAAAATGCAGCCAATTGAGGAATCAAGATGTGAAGGGGGATGAGGGAGTTTCAATAGACAAAACACAAGCTGCAGTTAAAGATTTGTATAACAGGATTTTGGTTGCAATTCGAAGTGCTGAATCAATCTCTGAAAGAATTGAGAAACTCAGAGATGAAGAATTGCAGCCTCAAATCATTGAACTCTTACATGGGTAAGTACTTAATAGTTAATAACAAGTAAATTTCCACATACTCATGCATTTGATACTTGTACTAGACGCAATAAAGATGGTACATTGTTAAAAGATACAATCTTTTAGGCTAAAGAAGCAATCTTTTTGATACCCCGTTTCATATTTTATGCAGCACGATGAACATGTGGAAGATTATGTTGGAATCACATGAAATCCAAAACAAGATCATGATTGAAGTCAAACTATTCACTTGTCCAACGTTTGGAAAATTCTCAAACAACACTCATCGTCTTGCAACTCTATAGCTAGAGGCTGAGCTTCAAAACTGGAGGACATGCTTCAGAGAATATCTCACTGCACAAAAACAATACGTTGGAGCTCTTTACAATTGGCTTTCAAAGTTCATAGTACCTGAAATAGAATTCTACTCAAAAAGCCGAAACACATCGCAACCTTTTCAAACAATAAATGGGCCTCGATTGCTCATGATTTGCCAAGATTGGTTTAATTTGATGGATAAATTGCCTGATAAATCGGTTTACTTTGCCATGAAAAGCTTCTCAAAAGATTTACACTCTTTGTGGACACAACAAGGAAATGAACAAGACCAGAAGAGGAAAGTCGATAGTTTGTCAAAAAAAACTCGATCGCAAGATTCTTGCTTTTCAGAAGACTGAAAACCGGGTTTTTGAGCCGAATCTTGAACTGTGTGAGATTGGGGTTGATCATCGGGCAGATTATTTGAAAGAAAGGAAGGATTTTTTAGATGGGTTTAGGGAAAAAGTGGAATCAGAGAGAGGAAAACATCAAATTTATATGCAAGAGACTCAGAGGATCACATTGAATGGATTCCAAACGGGATTTTGTCGGATTTTTGAGGCGTCAATTGAGTTCTCAAAAGGGTCGATAAAGATGTATAATGATCTTGTTGGCTCTTCTCAGGAAGAAGATGAGAGTATGAGATGATAGGTTTTTTTTATTAATTGATTAATGGTTAGTTTAGTGGTGATTGTTGTACATTAGATTGCGATCGAAGCTGCTTGCTGAGATAATATTGGTTTAGACTTTAGATGATTAGTTGGATTTGTTTAAGGTGATCAAGAAGTGGTTTTTTCTTCTTGATTTGATTAGGGTTTGGTGTTTTTGCTCACAATTTTGTTGGTAAGAACTGAAATTTCCTAATTTCTTGCAATCTTTATTGGTAATAAGTTCCAAGAAGTTGTAGAGAAAGTTGGAGATTCAAGTGGGCAATTGGTTTGTAAGTAGTAGTCTCTGTTTTTCTGAAGGAAACAGGGTTCTATTGTGTATTTGTTGAGTAGCTTTCTGCAGTTTATTGTTCATTTGGGTTTGATATTAATCTGTTAAAAAGTTCATATTCTCGGTGGTTGTAAATCAAAAAGGAAGATTTTAGTCAAGAAGAATTAAGAAATTTGAAAATCAGGAGTAGATACTCAAATATTGTGCCACTCCACACGGCATCCTCCTGTGGTGATTACAGCGGCGTGGTGTCGTCTTCTCCACGTGCCCTCCTTCCTCTATTCGGTAAATATATTGATAATGGAGTAAATTATTGAAATGGTCCCTATGGTTTGGTTAAAATTATATGTTTGGTCCCTATTTTTTTTTATTCGGATTGTCCATGTGGTTTGATTTTGTTGCATAATATATATATATATATATATATATATATATATATATATATATATATATATATATATATATATATATATATATATATATATATATATATAAGTTGTTATGAGTTAGCTCCAGATCTATTTTTTTAATATCTCGTAGCTAGCAATGGTTATTGAAGCAAGAAGTTTTGAATGTAGTTAAATTTGGCTTTGTTGTTTGTTGAATAATAAGATGAATTGGGAAAAGGGCGAAACAGTTTTCATAAATTATACATATAGGTTGTTTATTTTAAATGGGGTTAGTCTGTCTTAAATTTTGAAGAATGGGTGTTTTTTGGCTAAAGATCTTAATAACATTGAAGATTGATGGCAGTTGAATCCCCTTTAGTTTCCAGTTGTTCTTGGACTGAAGAGGATGGAGGGGGTAAAGTGTAAGGGTTGTAAGGTGGATGGATTGTGGAGTGGAAGAGTTTTAAGTGTTGTGAAGGACCATAACTTCTGCCACCTTCCATCGTCCTTGACAACAAACACAATCTCCTTCTGCATGTAACACAACATTTAACCACAATGTTCTTATTTGCATGCTCTTCCAATGGACTACATTACAATTCCTATGATGGAAACTGATAATTGACTATAAAAAAAGGTCTCTTTCAGAAGTTGGTTTGATTAAGGAGTGCATACAAGCATTTATATTTGAATTTGACTTTAAAGTATTAAATGAGTTTTTTGCTTCACAGAATTATGCACAAATAACGTCAAGCTTGACTTTTCTCTTTTACTCGATTTGTAGGTAATGGAGATGGAGGGTATGCAAAAGAGAATGGTCAAGCTAATATAAAGTCAACCCAAGTCTTGGAATGTACTTTTATGCTTATACATGTCTACTGAGATCTACTATATTAATTTACTTATTGTGTTGTTTGACTGTTTATGATTCAGTTGACCTATAATTAATGATGTGAAACAAATTTCTTTGAGATTAAATAATGCAACTAATTTATGATTCATTGTGATTCCTTTTGATTGTAGCTTATGTATGTGTGCACCCCTGTTTTCATTTTCTTACAAACATAAATTTGGTTCACGTCTATTTAAACTTGTGCTTTTATATGAATCCAATTTCGAATGTGTCTGCATTGAGAATAAGAAAGCTGGTGGCAGTGATTATTTTTCTGTAAGAAATGGTCATTTGCAACGTTTTTTTTAATAAGATATTTCATTATCAATTACTTATTTTTATTAAACTAATAAAATGGACAAGAAATATAGTGTTGGTTTACTTCTAACATAAGAAAGGACTCGCATCAAAGTGATATGCGAGGTTCCCTTTTCTTTGGTTTTTATGTATGCATATGTCAGTAATTTCTTTTTTCCACTGTTCATACAATGTTGTTTTACTTCTGACTTTGTAATAGAAATATAGGCTACTTCATGTTCCATAGGAGCTTTGGCGATGACCGTTATGCCCATCCACAAAGCATCATATTTATTTTTCATGGCTAACTTTTCTAACAACTACTTTTGTACAATGTTCTTAGAATACATGAAGGGTAGTTTAGATTTCAATATTTTATAACTCACATGTTAAACTCAAATTATATTATAACATTATAGAAATTGTTCTTTGAAAATTTCATGTATTCATGTATTTAATTATTTTTCATTTTCTGTTCCAAATTAAAGGAGCTATTAATGTTTTGGACAATCATAAGCAATATTTTCTGATAAAAATATAAAAATAATATTTGTTTACTTGGTTATTAATAATTTTTTTATAATAATAGTTCAATAATACTTTTTAAATAATTATCAAAATCATCTAATATGATTCTTATACACATAATCAAATATGAATATATATATATATATATATATATATATATATATATATATATATATATTATGATAATATGATTATTTAAGAAATCTTTTATAGTAAAACTATTTTATGTTTTCTATGTTTAATTATATATTCAAATATTAAAAAACATTTGAAAAAGTTTAATTTGATTTATTTTGATATCAAGACACAATGTATCTTTCAATCTACAGATAAGATATGTGTGTTGTGGTTTAAAAAATAAAAATAAATAAAATAAGATTTTTTAATTAATGTAAAAAAAAAAATTATAAAATAGTGTGTGTCATTGAAAGGTAAAATATATTTATTGTTGCATTGCATACTTTTGAATACCACACTTGCCAAAAAAAAAAAAAAAATAGTTGTCTATCGAATCCAAACAAATCACCAAATAAAACTAATTTCCGTAATAGAAATTAATAACTACAAAAATAATAGTCGAAAAGAAATTGACGTTGAAAAATAAACTTCATTATTCAATAAATGAAACTAATTGACACTCGAACCTATTCATCGATCCCGCCTTGAAGATCATTACATACATTTTTATATTTAATTTAATCGTAAAACAAAACCCACATCGCATTAGAAACTATTCCGCTCCTACATTTACATACCTAGCTAGAAACTATTCGCCGAATAAACTATCTGACACAAAACAATCTGTCAAAAGGCTGAATAAACTATGCGAAAATAAAACCAATGACACGGTTGGGTCACTTTCCTTGGACCGATAAAGCCCAGCCCGATAGCATGCTGAAAAGTCTACCATCGGCGGCGCCCGTCAAACGACTTTTCATCCTCTCCGACATCTAAAACCCTGTTAACAAACCCTAGACTATCAAATCCACGAAGAAATTCTTACATCAATGGCTGGAGGTCGATTCCGTGAGTTATTAAAGAAGTACGGAAAGGTAGCTCTCGGAGTACACTTTTCCGTCTCCGCCGCAAGCATCTCCGGTTTATACGTTGCTATAAAAAACAACGTCGACGTCGAATCCGCTCTGGAAATGGTTCGTTTCAAACAGCTTGAATCAATCCTCGAAAAAGTCGGTATGGGAGGCCCAAAAGAAGAAACGGAAGGAGAAGTTGCAACTATGTCCCAATCAAATCAGGAAGTGAAACCGAGGAATCGGACGGCTGAACTAGCGGCATCGAGCGGCGGTGCACTGGCGCTGGCTGTTCTCTGTAATAAGGCTCTCTTTCCGGTAAGGGTTCCAATCACAATTGCTCTCACTCCTTCCATAGCAAAGTTTTTAGCAAGGAGACAAATAATTAAAAGCAGTGTATGACTGATCATCTTATTTCATCTTTATGAATCAGAAGTGCTTTTTATCACCAAAAACTTAGGGATTGTGAATTGTTCTTGTTAGAAAAGGATACTGAGTTTTGCTGGATGCCATAGTTGATCGTTTTGTACAATTATTTTGATGTTGTGCTTAATGACTCTTCTTCGTTGATTAATAAACACCACTTATGTACGATTATGTGATACTATTATCAAGAAACTGTACAATTATCTCCATTGAATAGCAAATTATAGTATCAGAAACTGCAATTTATTGATGGAAAGTAGGACAAGTAGACAACAGATCATTTGTTTCATATGAAGCTAAAACATTGAAACTAAAAAGTGTTTTGAACACTTCAGTTAAGAACTTGATAAATTGCATTGTAGTGGTACTGTGGTTTCTGGTGGTTATGGAGGTGGGAATGGTGGTTGTGGTGATGATTGTGGTTGTGATGATGGTGGTGGAGTTGGTGGTCCGCCATGCCATGCCCATTTTCTGGTGCTTTGGTGGTGGTTTCCGGCCACCCTCTAGATGGGTTTCGTGTTATCTCAAGCAGGGATTCCCTGACATGGTCTGCTTGCACCATTTCACTATCTTTCCTCTGTTACAACAAACACAAATATATGTCAATAAACTTATAACTCTTCATTAAAGTAGAATGCTAATAAACAAATAAATGAAAGTATGTTGCTATTTCTTGCATTTACACCGAAAAGAGAAGTGGAGTGGTTTTTGTTTATGTGCTTACCTCAACTTTGAAGACATTCAAAACCAAACATCTGAAGCTAGTAACATTCACATTTGTCACTTCGAGTCCTAGAGAATTGAATGCTTCCATTAACCTCACAAATTCTCCTGGTTTGTGCTCACAAAATACCTTCACGTAAAATTCGTTTCCATCTAAGGATGCAACTTCCACTTGTGGCTATGCAAAACATGAATAGAGAAATGAGTTAGAAAGTTTTCTAGTCAACACTCATATGGTGTTTCCATCTAAGGATGCAACTTCCACTTTGTTTTTTGTTTTTGTTGTGATTTTCTAAGATGTTATTTTACATATTATTTATCAAGAAAAAAATGAAATAACGCGTTTGTTTTACCTCCATTTGTTGCCCTTTTTCGTTAGCACCTTCAGTGTCTGGTGTATGTTTCGGGACATCAATGGCACCAATGCCTGAATAAGCTTCTAATTGATGACCATTCACGAACATCCCTTGTCCATGGCTAAACCTACGTTTTAGGTTGCTTCCATTGCCATGCATCACCTCTTGTTCAACAATTGTGCTTTGGTTATTTGTGGTACCCTCGTCATCGGAGTTCTCTTCTAACTCATTTTGGAGTTCTTCTACTTGTCTCTTCAACTCCATCACATACTCGATTGCATCTTTTAGTATCGAGGCTCTATCCAACTACCATAACATAACTCAATGTCATATTGGTGATACTTTTTTACTTAATAAACTTAACATGAACATGACTTAATCATGTAGGCTACATATAAGTGTTTTCTTTTAGCTTAACATACAAATAACAACTCAATAGAGAAAGTGAGATAAATGAGGCTTTCTCATTTTAGCTTAACATACAAATTACAACTCAATAGAGAAAGTGAGATAAATGAGGGTTTCTCGATCGCATCCTCGAGTATTGAGGCTTTATCCTATTACAAAAACAAAGCTCAAATGATCCGTTATGGGTACATTTGACTGTTAGTGTTATTAGGGTGATATTTTTTTTTACTTAATAAACATAAAAATAAACATGATTAATATGCTAAGGTATAAATGGATTTATTTATTTATTTATTTTTTTGACATAATGCAAAAAAAGAACGACTTAATAGAAAAAAAAAAAAAACCTAAGAAAAATGAGATTTTATTCATCAAGCCCAAATTATTTATAGATTTGTCATTTATATTTTTCCTACCATTTTCTAAATATGGAATCAGTTTCTTAAATATTTTTTAACATCATTTATTAGACTGCCATTTAACTTGATAATCAAACGCATATGATAACTATAGCTTTTAAGTGTACCTTGGTGATTTTGGGTACTAAAGAACGAAGAGTATAGAGGCGATCATTAAGCTTCTTTCGTCTCTTACGCTCCGCCATAAGGTTCTTCGACTGTGGTTTTCCATTCCTCCTCCGACATTTTGGATCATCTTCTTCATCATTTTGATCACTACAATCAGAGATAGAATCCGAACGATTCATGTCCCCTTGCTTCTTTGCACCATTCTCCAACGGCTCCATGAGGTGCCCCTTGTTCATATTCTCACCCATCATTTGCCCTTGCAACGCCATATCAATCTCATGGTCAAACCCTACATTCTCCTCCGAATTAGGGTCAAAAGGGTCATCATTGTTCATCATCATCGGCTCACTCGTGCCTTCCAAGAACATGTTCTTGCCATTTCGATTTTCACCATAGTTGAATTGTTGCAAGAAGTTCATCGGATGCAAATGATTATCAGAGATATTGTGGGGTGAGAGGTTTAGGTTTTCTAACATGGTCGCCGGAGAAATCGGTGGTTGGAAATGGTTATTTGGATCTTTTTGGTCGTCAAGTACTTGAGCTATGTAATCCTTTGATTCTTCATTGTCTAAATTGTCCATGTTTACCGAGAAGCTTGAATCCACATTGTTGTTCGTGTTCAAGATAGGGTGTTGTTCTAGTGACATGTTGAATAGAGTGGTCACAAAATCAATGATGCTTTGATCTTCAGGTATCTACATACAATAACATATATTTGAGAAAAAATCCTGCAAGGAAATCTTGAGTTCATTTTCTCTTTTAAAGGCGAAAGCACATAGTTTCCATTCTTGTTATTTATGATAAACAAAATGCTAAATTCAAGAAACAACAACATACTTTTAACACTCTATTCATGTACTTCTACTACACAACTTTTTTATAATTTTCCACAATTAGGGCATTATACCTTATTAACCCTACCTAAGTATAGTAGTGAGAATTGCTTTGTCGTAGATTTTGAAATTACAAATTTTGTAATATGAGGAAATGGAAGTTGAGTGCTATAATAAACAAATCAACAATATTTTGCTACTAGTTCTCAAATTAATCATATTGATTCATCATATTCTCGTTGTTTCATATGTAACATATCAAGGCTTTCTAAAGTAAAAAAAAGTTACTTGTTTAGATACAAAGAGTTCAACAAGTCCAATTGGAACAGGAATCAAAGCTTTGGTCCCAAGATTATCCTGCAATACAAGTGAAATTACGTAATTAATATTGGTGTAACAACAGTAACTTATACAGTAAAAGTTAAAGTTGCTTGGAATAAAATTGGGTAAATATCGATGGTTAATTTTACCTCAGAAAAATCAGTATTGGAGCTATTGGAAAAGTTTAGCCATCGTGGTTGATTAGATATCATGGTTTGTCCATATATCCTGATGAACATAAATTTAGTAAACCAAAGGAAAAAATATTAAATAGTCTGATTACTCAAATATATTACAAAAGAAAATATACTAGAAGAAAGAAAAATTAAGAGAAGAAATTTAACCCAGAGTGATCATAAGGCATGGAAGAAGGTAAAAGTGAAAGAAGGTGGCAAGCATCCGTGGTTGAGTGATTGAAGGTGACATCTTTGCACTGAAAGAGCACTTGTTGTTCATCGTCTCCACCATTTCCATGGCTTCCATTGCTCCCAGAACAGCAGCAATCCGCCCATTCAATCAACCTAATTCATTTCACATTTTAATGATCACCACTTTTCTTAAATTTATCACACCCCATCAACACACATGTATGTGTATGTATGTATGTATGTATGTATGTACCTTTGATCTTTACTTGGTTTCCAAAGCACACAGTAATCCCAACTTTCAGGACCCACAATTGATCTTAGCCTCTCCATTACCTCTTGAAGCACTTCCATCTCCCTACACCCAAAATAAAACACAATAAGAGAGGCCCTAGTGAAGGTCATATACATAAATATCCATATATACACGTATATGTATATATACATATACATATACATACATGTAAATGTCATGTGTATGTGTATCTATGATGGATATACTGGTTTACGTGGTTCTACTTAATGATATAGACCCTAAGAAAGAAAGTAAACAAAGAAAAACAGACAATTTTGTAAGCGAAGAAAAGAAATTAACCATGAAATTGAAAGAAAAAGAAACACAATTTTTTTTTTTTTTTTTTTATCGTAATTAAATAAGTTTTCGACTAATAAATAATAAAATACTTAGAACTAGAATATCATTTCGGAAGACAAAATAATAGAAAACTTTTGAAACATGGGAAGTATTCTCTGTTATGTCGTGTAAAAAATTAATGGGCAAATAGGCATATTTGAAAACAAAATTTCCCTAAAAGGAAATGCATGTCTTTTGGTGATCATCTAAAATAGAAAATGGTAACGCTACTATAAATTGATTTTAGCGACGCTTTCTAAATCCGTTGATAATACACATTTACTTCTCTAGCGACGAGTTCGTTTTATTTGTAAATGAAGAAACCCCTAAAGAGGTTTTTTATTTATTTATTTATTTATTTTTTTATATAAATCTAATTACACTAGAATTCAAAATACAAGAAACATATGTAATAATACTATTAACAACAACCAATATTCACATGTACTTCATAATTAATATAGGAAAAGTTGTGGTTTGTAAACAAAGATGGCTTAAAGGAAATTTTTAATACAAATTCTTAGTGTGTGATCTTATCACATCTGGCAGACACGTTCCCTTCTATATTTCTTTATGCATGTTGAAATCTATATTTTCGTCATAAAGGCTCTTTACATATATCTTATACAAATAATGTGTGAATTTGAATTCAAAATACAAAGAAAGTATGTACGAAAACTCTTAAAAGCAAACTATTATAAATTTCATCTATTTTGTACAAAGATTTAAGAAAACCATATACAAATATTATATATGTAAACGATGAAACCCTAAATTTTTCTGAGAAATTTCGTCCAAAACGATTCTAGGAAAAGTAACATGTATACCATTAATATTAATAACAAGCTACATAAATTTTCAAATGTTAAAAGACTAATAAGTGCTTCATGTATTTATAAATACTCTATAAATGAAGAAACCATATAAGACTTATCTACCAAAGACAAATCCAAATTTAAAAAGGTACTCGTTCTATCACAAAATTTGACAAAAAATCAAATGTATACGCCACTTACAAATTAAGCTTGTTGATCACTCTTATGATGTTATGATCCTCCTTTGACTGAAACAAATGTAGAGAAAAGTTAACCCCAAAATTAAATGATGAAACACCACTCACTCAAAGTACAAACAACTAAAAGCAGGTGAGGGCCTTCTTTTTTTGACAGCAATGGTTAACAACTAGAAGATACCCACCTCATGTTCTTCATCATCTTCAAATATCTTATGATCTCATGATGAAAAACATTAATCCCAAGCAAAAAAAGCATCGAAAACGAGGAGATAGAATTAGGGTTTTTGCAAAGACATACGAAGATGAAAGTAGGTTTTGAATTTTATATGGAGATGTTTTTGAGGGTAGGTGAAGTGTAGATGATGCATGAGAGAGAGATCAAGAAACTAAGTTCTTGTGTAATTGGAGAAATATGTGCTGTTAGGATGGGAGCAGCTCAGATTGCATGACCTAAGATGGCGTATAAATTAAACTTAAACTACTTTTTTATTAATTTTTTTAACTAAAGAACTATATTAGAGCATGTTTATTTTATTAGAGATTGATGGAATTGGGTGGAATGAAATTCAGGATTCGCTTTTACCACATTTCGTATATATATCATGCATGATTTAATGATTGGAATTGATCAATATAAATTATTTCAGATCAATCTTAGTTGTAAGCTCTTAGATGGAGTTGTTTCATGTTACAAACATTTTATAATTTCATTACATATTATAAAGTCTTCTAAGGATGCAAAAGATAGGACTACGAAATGGCTACCATCTCCTAAAATTCTTGGTGGTATGTCGTAGGATGCACATTCAAAAAAAAATAATTAGATGCCAAAGTGTAAAGTTAGTTATGGTTTTTATATGTGATAGTTCATTATTTAGTGGTTTGGGCTAGGCAATGATATGTATAGGTCTTAACAAGTTCTTGGTCATGTATTGTTGATTTTGGTATAGTTTACGGTTGAGTTGGTGTTTACGGCCGTAAACAGGTTTACGGTCAGTCGTTCCCTATATATAGTTTGTTTTAGAGTCCTGTTTACGGCCGTAAACCTGTTACGGCCAGTTGTTCCTTATATATAGTTTGTGTCAGAGTGTGTCAGAAGGTTGATGTACTGAGTGACGAATCACAACTGTTTACAGTCAGTGTGTGTGTATCTTCAAGGTGTACTTGACGTTTTAGTGAATGAACATGTGCATTGCTTGATCATCTTGTTCTTCTACTCATTCTTGCTATTGTTTGTTTTGATCACTAGTTTTGATGTTCATAATTGGGACCTTACAATTGGTATCAGAGCAAATATGGTGTCAAAACAACTTTAGTGGAGTTTACGGTTGAAAGAATTTGCATTTGTTCGAATAGTCACGGCTAAGGGAATCAGAATCAGTACGAAAAACACTTGTTCTCATCAGTTCTGTGAGTTTATGGTTATTGGTGTTGAAGGGAGTACATCCATAAACATTTTATACAGCTGTAATTCGTTGATCTTCAAAGGCCGTAAATAGCTAATTTTCGATAGTCGTAAACAGTTAATCTTCAAGGACCGGAAACTATTGCCTGACCGTAATCTATCAAACTATATTTGAGTATACGATTGTAAACAACTTTCCACCGTAAACTAGTGTGAATTGATTACGGCCGTAAACAAGTTCTCATATTTTAATTTTTTGTTCAAGTATATTTTCTTTTAATCAAGAAAAAATTAAAAAAATATATTAAAAAAATGGATTCACAAAATTCTCATCATAACTTGATTCGGTTATGGACACTACCACTCGCATCCCTCGTTTGTTATCGGTTGAGGGGTTTTCGGAATAGAAGTATCGTATGGAGAAATATATCAAGAAGAAAGATTTTAAAATTTGGAGATGTATTTTGAAGGGACCTATCAGAATCACCACAATACTTTCGGATAAAACGATCCTTGACAAGGCTGTCGAAGAGTATACTGATGAAGAATTCGATAAAATTGAACAGCAAGAAAGAGCACTTGCTACTCTTACTATGACTTTGTCACCAGAAATTGCTCAAGGATTTCGTGAATACACGTCTGCAAAGGCACTTTGGGAGGCTTTGATTGAAGTGTATGAAGGGAATGAGGATATGAAACGAAGCCGTTAAGACATGCTGAGACAGAAATTCAATATGTTTAATCACATTCTTGGAGACACTTTGGAAGTTCAACTACAACGCTTTATCACACTCACCACTGAGATGAGTTCAACTGGTGTTTTAGTGCCAAGATCAGAAGTCAACAAGAAGTTGCTTAACTTTCTCCCAAAGAAATGGGATATGAATGTTGTTGTCATCAAGAAAACAAAAGATCTTGATCGACTTAGTTTGGCTGAAATCATGGTCATCATTAAAGCTTGTGATCTGGATGACAAACAAAGAGAGATCACATGTTAACTCATATTCTTCTGCTAATCTCGGAATTCAATCAAACAATGCTTTCTCATTCTTCACCAATCCTCAAGTTCAACCATTTGCTGCTCCTCAATCATCATCATATGACACTCCATTCATGCAAAGTGCTCAACTTCCAGTATCTTATCCACAAGTTACTTCTTCTTCAAAGACACATGCTCCAGTTCCTGCTCCAATCCTTGCTCCCAAAGAGAATGACGAAAATTTGGCTCTTGCAACCAGTCTTCTCAATTGTTATAATGCTTTTGTAGCTGGTGAGCTACCTCCCCAATTGTCATTTGTTGATTTGGACAAATTCATCCCGAAGATGTTGGCAAATTACTATGGCGGTGTTCAGAGCCAACAGTTCTCCAAAGAGACCGGCAAAAATAACTGGGGAATGAATGTAGAGAAGAAGGTGGGGTTCAAAAAAGGCAAACTCTGATGCTTTAACTGCCATTAACCTGGTCATTTTGCTAGAGACTGCCCTAAGCCTGATAGGAGAGAGAACAATGAAAGAACAATGGTGCCAGTAGGTAACAGCAGGGGAGCCACCATCAACAATCAGATCGCAAATATTGCGGTGGTGGCTCAATCATTTGATCGGGATGACCAAATTCAGGCCCTGAACATCTCAGGACCTGAAAAATGCGCATCTAGCTCAAATCAACGATATTGTGGAAGGAGAAGTTGAGATAGATCCAGAGGAGGAATGTAACGTCATAAAATTTCCAACCAAAAATTTTCATTTTTACAACCATCAAAACATGAGTAATAAGTTTAGATTTCCATAGTAACAATGTAGACACAACTGATTACATAACAAAAGATAACAAAATAGTTTCCCGAGTGTGTGTACGGTCACGTTGGCGCCTTCCCACGGTCCTCACTCGTACCTGAAACACATAAAGCAACAATTGTAAGCATAAAGCTTAGTGAGTTCCCAAAATACAACATACGTACATACGCCTTTCCAGGCCTTGACCTTCCGGTCCATGTGTCTCAGGGGACTTCCGTCCCGACTGGGTAAACCTTCCGGTCCTACCCACGTCAACCCTTACAGTCCATATGACCACGCCTTCCGGCCCATATCAAACATATCATACATGACACATATAACAAATAACTTAACACACATAAGGCATATATTTCATATCATATTCGACCTTCCGGTCACACAGTCAAAACCCTTCCGGGCACAGTATAGTGAGAAGACTCACCTCGTATGCCTCGCTAAGTCGCTAATCGTGAATCCTGGAATCACTCGGGCTCGAACCCTCGAGCTGCAATCCTCCTATGATATTATAAATCTATAATTATTACTTGTACCACTAAGGTGGACCATCCAAATCAAGTCAACACAGGTTGACCTGGTCAATAGTCTTTGGTCAATTTGGACCAGACTCGGCGAGTGCACAATAGTGACTCGGCGAGTCTACGCGTTTTTACCAACTCTCAAGAATTTTCCCTTTGACTCGTCGAGTAATCCCCCGACTCGACGAGTTCCACCTGGGCCTGAATCACAGGGCCACCGCGACTCAACTCGCCGAGTCGAAGGTCAACTCGACGAGTCCCAACCTGACTCGGTCCACCTGTCAAAACCTTTCCAACTCTCTGCGACTCACTGAGTCGCCCACAACTCGGTCCGGTCTACACACAGGATGGTCTCAAGGACAATCTTCAAGCGACTCGTCGAGTCTGTTCTTCAGACTCGGCGAGTCCATGCCATGCACCAGCTAAAACTGGCTTTTGCGGTCAGATCCGTTCCATAAATACATAGATCTGGCCTTCCCAAGCTTATTTGTCACGTAAAGTCTCAGTCTTGGTTGCCATGCAATGCATACAAGGCTTATTTTGAAGAAACAACCTTTAATATGGCAAGTTTAATTTCTAACTCAAAAGGATGGACATAAAGCTTGTCATAAGGGGTCTCCTGGACCTGCTAAAGTCCAGATCTAGGTCCCATATCCCCATGGGACCTCTCATACTTCTTATTCAAGCCAAGAAATGCAAGAAGAAACCCTAGATTTGGCACATCAACACAAAACACGAAGTTTGGCTCTGAAAATTACCTCAAGAAGACTCCCTTGATGAAATAGCAACAGATCTAAGCTCCCCAACACTTCAAGCTTGCTCCTCTCCCTCCTTTCCTTGCAAAATCCCACAAAATGATGAACAAATGGCCTTCAAACACACTCACAAGGGCTTACAGACGTATGGAGGCTCTTAAGGTTCAAGGTGGCCGCAAATGAGGGCCATAAGGTCCTTTAAATAGGGCTTAGGACCGGGAAATTAGGGTTTCATTAAACAGCACGGACTCGCCGAGTCCATCCCTTGGACTCGCCGAGTCCGGACGCGAACCCCCGCTAAAAACCGCGACCCGACTCGGCGAGTTCGACCACCAACTCGTCGAGTCCCCTCACAGAATGTCAAAATATAAGAAATGAAGATACCTGGGGATCCGGGCTGTTACAAATCTCCCCCACTAGAATAAGACTTCGCCCTCGAAGTCTCGCTTAGGCAAAAAGCTCCGGATGCTGCTCCCGCATCTACCGTTCCGGCTCCCAGGTCATCTCTGATCCCTTCCGATGCTGCCACTGAACCAATACCAGGGGTACCTCCTTGTTTCTCAAAACCTTGATCTTCCGATCTTTGATGGCTACAGGTCTTTCAGCATAATTCAGACTTGCATCCACCTGAATATCCCTAACGGAACCACCGCTGATTCGTCGACTATACATTTCCGCAGTTGCGACACATGGAAAGTATCGTGAATCTGTCCCAACTCTGCTGGCAAGTCTAAACGGTAGGCTACCCGACCCACCCTTGCGATCACACGGAAAGGACCAATATATCGGGGCCCCAACTTGCCCCTCTTCCTGAACCGAATCACTCCTTTCCAAGGAGAGACCTTCAGGAGCACGAGATCACCCACTTGGAACTCAAGCTCGGACCGTCGCCTGTCTGC